GCCCATGTATTCATATTTCAGGAACATGGCACCAATCCAGTGACATTCTTTACATTCCAAAATCACTTTGTACTCTGAAAGATACCAGCCTTCCTCATCTCTTCAAAATCTTTCATGGAATCATAATTTCTGTAGAAATCTGCATATGCTTTCTTTCTTGGTTCAGCCACAGCAAACTTATAGAAAGTTGCAACACTCAGGGATACAATGAATGCTCCAACAATAAGAAATCGCAGATGCTTGGCTAGAAAGCCACGCATCTGAGGTTTTGCCAAAGCACTGGAAGCCATGGCAGTTACTGTGCCTCAACAGCAACGTCCTTCCTGGCTGAAGAAGAAAGGATATCATTCTTAGAGGTATGTGGATTAAGTTTATGGAACATTCAAATTTAAAAATAATCTAATGTTCTCTGGAAAGTATCGTACTTCTTTGTAAGTTATAAGGCTCATTTGTGCCATGATGGTGTTGCAGACCTGAGAGTGATATCCTTTTACCTCCATGGCAGGAAATGTACTTGCATTGCTACCTGGTGTCTGGTGTTTGCCCATAGGGAGCTGTAGCCTGTTCAGAAGGAAGTCAGTCAGAGGAGATTTATTTATTTGGTTTTTATTTAGAGATACTTTTGCTGTAGGGCACATGTGATTGACGAAGAGAGAGAAAGTGAAAAATCACCCTCTAAGGAGGATGGTTACACCACAATTTCTTCTCCATTTTCCTTCATTCTAAGAATTTTGGTATGCATAGACGAGTGCTCACCATGAGTTTTAAACCCCAGGATCCAGGGTTCAAACCATGGTCAGTCATATGGGAGTCCAGTTCCTTAACTACTATGCCACCTGCTACTCCAACTTTTGTGTATTTTAACACCATTTTAAAAATTTCAAATTATAAGAGCAGTTGTGTGATACAGATACTTTGGCCTCTCTTAGTCATAAAATTACAAAACTTGTTGTCTCAGAATAGGATGGTCCCCAAAGCCTTGCCAGGCCATTATGAAATCATAAAGTCTGGAGCAGAAAAACAGTGCAAAACATGTTTTTCCCAAGTTGTTTTTCACTAAAATGGAGGATGACGGGTACAGACCCCCAGGCCAGAGAGATCCCCAGAGCCCCTGGATGGAAACCAGAGATGTTCAGATAAAGCACAAGTCTCAGCACCATGGCTTCTGTAGAAATGCCTTCTTAAAAGTTCTAGTTATGTCTCTGTCTGTCATATCAGTCTGGAACACATTTTGTACAGATTGAAGGCAGACCGTGGAAGTGAGAATCTTCTGTGTCCTGCACAGAGTTGACTCTCCCAGCAGAGGGCTGAAGCTGCAGAAGAGGGCTGAACCTACAGATACAATCCAGTTCCATTTCCTCCTCAGCTCACACACATAGGGCTTTTTATCTGTGTTGGGCCAGCTCAGACATGTCATTACCTTTGATTAATGTCTTGCTACTTCTACAGCCTTTACAAACAGTATGTAAGATGAAGCATTTTATCTGTCATAGAGACTGGAAACCAAGTGTCTACAAGGATGGGGACCTGGTACTGGGTTGGTTTTTCCCTCTTCTTACCATGGAAGAGAATGAAACTGTAAGCCAACTACATTTTCTGATGAGGCCACCTCAAGAAGTGTCAAGACCTCTGTAAGTTTTTAGTTATATGTATGTGTAAATATGTTTATACATGTGTAATAATGTAGTTGGCATATGTGTTTGTGATTAATCACATTGAGAATAATCAAGTGTGCACGGAAAAGAGAGAAGAGCACAATTGTGAACTCAAGATCCCTTGTTATCCTTTTATCATCTTTCTTCCCATTTTTAGTGTTTCTCATTTCTTTCAAGACAGAAGAGTGAATTAATATAGCTTGTTATGCACTGCTTCAACACTATCTTCATATTCAGTGGGAGGCTTGGAATGAGTGAGATTGTTGGTACCTTAGCACTTTTGCCACCAAGACCCATGTAGTGAGGCCTGCATGCATAATGTGACACTGAGCTCCTGACATGAAGCTAATGTTAGAATCAAGGTGCTGACTTTGGGTGCTCACTACTGACTAGGGATGGTAGAAGTGTGCTTTGTAGAGAAGCCATAGGTTTCTAAATGCTGCCACCAGAGCTTATCTCCTATCTATCTAGAGTGGGGTCTAACTCCTAATTCAGCATAGAGCTTAAGGCAGTTGATTCCCACGTGGCTGACTATATGGTTGGGATCTTGAATTGAGTTGTTTGAAAAACATGAGAGGTGGGAGTATGTCTTCATGCCCAATAATCGCAAGAGCAGAATGGAGAAGGAATTGTGATAGCAAGTGAACAATAAAGAGGCAGGACGTTAGTGAGAAACAGATATGGCTTATTAACTGTTGATGATGACATGTATAGTATTCTCAACTGGATTGGCCTGAGAAGTATTTCATGATGGGCAAAGTATTTTTACAAGCAAAATGAGAAATAGCGATTGACTGTTTTAAAAAATAATTATAATAATAATAATAATGATTGGGGAAAACATAGAAAAGATATTGAATATTGAAGCGGGGAGATTAATGTCTTTGTACTGACTGACATGCATGGCATTCCCTTTTGAAAAAGCAATGTAATACACTGTAAAGTTATATGCAATCCAATGTAATATAAAGAAGATTATGATGATAATAAAATTTTTTTTTAAAAAAAAGAATTATATCCCATTACCATGTGTTAGGTACATATTTATTGGCATTATATCTCCTTGATGGATTAACACTTTTACTATAGTGCCATTCTTTGTCTCTCAAACAGTTTTTTTTAAAGCCTATCTTGTCAGAAATTAGTATCAGTACTCAAGCTTTTCTTTTTTTTTGATTCCTATTTTCATGGAATAACTTTTTCCAACACTTCACTTTTAGTGTATGTGTGTTTTTATACATAAGATGCGTTTCTTGTAGACAACAAATAGAGGCATTCTGGTTTGTTGTTGTTGTTGTTGTTTTTTAAATCTATTCAGCCCGTCTGTTTCTCTTGATAGGAAAATTTAATCCATTAACATTTAATCATTTAATATTATTATTGATATTTCCAGACTTGTCCTTACCTTTAAGTTGACCATTGTCTTGGTTATCTTTCACTCTTATTTCTGGCTGATCATTCTTAGTTTTCCTGGAATAGGACTCCATTGAGAGTTTTATATTGTTGTTGTTGTTGCTATAGGGCGTGTGCAATCGCCAGAAAGGCAAAGAGAGTTAGAGAGACAGAAAGCGACAAATCACCCTCCAGGGGCAATGGCCACACCACAATCCCTTCACCTACATTCTCCCCTCAGGATCTTGGGCACATACGCACACGCACCCACTGTGAGTTTAAATCACTGGGTCTGGGACTCAAACTGTGGTCGACTACATGGGAGTCCAGTGACATAGCCATTATGCTAACTACTGGTCTCATCTTTTCAGTGTTTCTTGAAGAGCTGGTCTGGTGTCGGCAAATTCTTTCAGGTTTTCTTTGTTTCAGAAGATTTTATTCTTTTTCCCCATATGAAGGATAATATTGCTGGATATAATAATTTTGGTTGAAACTGTTCCTCTCTTAACACTTTCAATATGTCTTCCCATTCTTTTTTTGCTTGCATTGTTTCTGCTGAAAGGTCTGGAGTTAGCCTAATGGGATGACCTTTGCAAGTCACTTCTCATTTCTCTCTTGCCAATTTTAGTATCTTGTCTTTATCTGTGGTCTTGGAAATTCTTTCAGATTTTCTTTGTTTGAGAAGATT